ATAGTAAATGGTTCTGCTTGTATTAATTAAGAAAATTAAACAATTTTATTTGACAAGAGTTGTAATTAATATTTACCACCTCGTACATTTGCTCCATATTAAGTATTTAATTTTGAAGTTAGCATTATAAAAGAAGAAATTGTTTATTCTACAAAAATATCAATTTAATTAATTGAAATAGATTTACCAGCTTTAACTGTATAAGGAGTCAATGCATTAGAGATTCATAATTATTATGATGAATTTATCTATTAATTAGTATATCCTGGAATAAATCCTGATGTTTTAATGTATGCAGGTGCAGTAATATATGATTAAGTTGTTTAAGCAACATTCCAATTTTATTATTTAGAGTTTAAATTTAAAGTCTAAGATTATTTTACTAATTTCTAAGATTCCTTAGGTAATGGTCTAAAATTAAGACTATCAGTTTATGATCCTCGTTTCATAATGCCTTCTTTAAATACTTAAATGTTAACTATGAATATTCCACCTTAAAATTGTTAATTGGAAATGAAATATAATCAAGGATTTGTTGAATTTATTGAAGCACTTGATGTTTCAGTCATTAATTGTATTGATACTGATGTACCTTTATAATATAGTGTTTGGGTATTTCCAAATGAATCAATTTATGAATCTGATCTAATTCAATCTAAGTTTTACAATTATATATTACTTGAACCATATTAGAAAACCAATACATTTAAGTTATTTTTACCATATTATAATGATAAATAGTAGGTTCTAGTATTTCATATATAAGATTCATATGGAGGTGTAATTAATATAACTTAGACTTTTGATGTAAAATAATATTTATAAATTGATGAAACTACTTTTTTAAATTATGAGAAGTAAATTGTAAGTTTAGATTAATAATTAATTGGATATAATTTAATAACTGAAAGATTAAAATTAATAAATGGATCATAATAATATAAATAACAATTATTTTATAAATTAATTGCTATTGATTAAAATTAAACATTCTTAAGTAATTAAACAGAAAGTTTATATAGATCTATTTCAAAATTATTAAGTTAGAATGTAACATTATTAAATTAAAATGAATCAATGTTACTCAATTAATTGAATTATAGAATTAATTTAGCTTATGTTTAATTGACAACATTTTATAATTTATAAAGATAAAATAAATTGACATCATAATAAAACATTGAAAAAACTATATATACTTAACAATACTATACATTCTCAGATATTTTGTCTTCTTGTCTCAATTATAGAGTTCAATAGAATTTAACATCAACAGATATCTAAAAATAACTATAAGAAATGCAATCACAATTATAAGGTATTAGTGTACCTAATGAACCATTATATAAAGTATAATCAAACTCAGTAAATTTAAATTTTGGATTTCTTACAACCAAAATGGCAGGAGAAGTAACAGGATCAAAAAAAATTACTAAAAGTAGATTATTGGAGGAAGAAGCTGAAAAATAAGATACTGATTATAATACTTCAACCAATTTCTATAAATTTTCAATGACCAGATTTATTGATAATCCATTTTATGCAGATCAAAACTTTCCTAAAAATAGTAGTGGATATTAAGCAGTAGATCCAAAATTAATCGCAGAAACTTAATCTAATATTAGTAAAGCAAATTCTTAAATGAAATTTAAGTTTCCAACTACAAAAAAATTAGAAAACAATACATCAATTAAATGTATAACAGAAGTTAAAAGTGGAGAATGGGATGCTGATGTTTGTAGTACAGTTGAAAATAATGGAGAGACTACATGTTAATGTGAATCTTTAAATCCAACTTCTGTGATGGAATCCTTGAATCTTATTGCTGATAAAGCAGCTTAAGTATTTTCCTTGGATACTCTATTGGCATTTGGATCATTTCCATTTTATAAGACCATAGTTTTTTATTTCTATATTGGAATCACAGGTATTTATATATGGGTTGTCTATTGGGGAGTTAAAGTTGATAACGAAATGTTTGCAAAAATTCATGCTGCATAAGAATTAGCAGAATAAAAATTAAAAGAAGAAAAACTTAAATTAGAGAATATTGAAAATGACCCAGAAAATAAAGAATAGAATAAAGAAATTACAGAAAACAAATAGGAATCTCATTCTTTCAGACAGCTTGAAGAAATAAAAGATAATGATACTCCTCAGATTGAAGCCTTACCAAATTTAGAAAAAAATATCTTTAGAAATCCTAAATCGTTTGATAGAGTTATACTTGAGAACAAACTCTCGATGATTAATTCTCCATAAGAATTCCTAATTAATCAAACTCCTGATTCTAAACTTGATATCAACATTGTCATACCTAAAGGATCAGGAACTGACCTCCTATTGCAAAGACAATGTTCTATAAAAAATGATAATAGAGTTCAATCTTCAGAAAATCTTAAAAATGTTGAAGATTCAGAAAAATAGGAGAATGATAAGAGGAAGGAAACAGAAGGAAATTAAAATGAGAAGGATAAACCAAAAGGATTAAAGGATTTAACAATAAAGAATTCTATCTCTAGAATTAAAGCCTATATTGAATACCTTAAGTTTTTCCATCAACTATTATAGATAATATATAAATCAGATTAAAAGAAACCTAGAGGCTTGAGAGCTTCAATTGTTTACACAAGTATTTTGGGTAGTTTGGCTGTGCTATTTGTATTTAATCAGCCAAATAATCTTAGTTTTACAGTCGCTTTAGCTTTATTAACTGCTCCTATTAATAAAATTTATTAGATTATTCTTGAAAAAACATTATCACATAAAAAGAAGATAGTTAGATCAATTGGAGCTGTTTTTATGATAATAAGTGCTGGTCTCATTTCTTATGTTATGTTGGCAGGCTTGGTAATGATGGATTCAGTGGAAACTGCTAATTAATGGAGCTATATCTTTGTAGGAACCTTTACAATGGATAATTTATTTTATTGTCCAATTTCTTTAATTTTCTAATATGTAGTTCATATGGAATTCATTAGGCTGCCAATTTTCTAAAAGTTGCTCGATAAGATACTTGACGAAAAGGCTAAGGAATTTTTGTATGGTTTAATTGATAATTTAGGAGGAGAGGAATGATTATTATTTATTATCATTTTACATAGTTTATCCTTAAATTAAATTTTAATAAAAAAAATTCATTTGAACATTAATAAAAGATCCAATTATTATTTAATTAGATATAATTATCAAAAAACTTAAAGAAAAATTTCTTTTTATTAATATATAAAATTTTGTAGTTGCTTTTGGAGGAGCGCCTTCATGTGTTAAATATCTTCTTTCATCAACAAAATCATATATTAAATTAAGTGCTTGTTCTTTCTCATCCATTTAATTTAGTGAATATCTAATTAATCCTAGAATGACCTATTAAACTTTATAATCATAATAGATTTTGCTATAACTATCATTTTCTTAACAATATATACTAGTTTTTTTTAATTTCTCATTTTTCCCTTTTAATAATTTATTGAAATATTTACATAGTTCTAACATTCTCCAATGATTTCCATCTGTTTATAACATTCTTACTCTATCTAGTTTTTATACTTAAGAATATTTATTATTTTAGTATATCAATTATTTTAAATTGAAATATTTATTTCTTTATGTTTATTTTTTGTTTTAATTCAAAAAATTTGTAAGAAATAGAAGCGTAAGAATTCTAAGAGATAAAAATCGAACTTAAAAAAGTTTTAATAATTTAGGACTTTGAACGTTTTAAAAAATCAAATTTTTTAAATATTATTCCTTTATATTTCTTCAAGGAACTGTATAATATCAAATGTTAATCATCTTCAATATCATTTTTAAATATTAGTATTAAATTTCTCTTAAATTAAAATTAATATGCATTCTTACTCATACTGACATAAGCTTAACATTATAATAAATCTAGATTAACTCTTATTCGGTATTATGGTGTAGAACTTATTAAATGGAACTTATTAGACTTCAGTATTATTAAGTAGTTTTGATATATTTTTGGTAATATCCTTTCTAAACATAAATTAATTAGTTATTAAATTTAACAAAGTATTTTATCTTATTAATAAGATTCTTAAATTTGATGATTGATTAAAGTAGGGTATCATCCTAAAAATCATCATTAATTTTATTTTATAAATTTCTGACTTCAATGTAAGTTTTTTTTTTATTCAATTTTTGTCGATAAAGTCATATTATTCCTTTTTAATAAAGTTATA